ATCTTTTTCCCTGCTGACGTTAAAAAGAAACGATAAAGTGAACAATCCTCTACAGTACTCACATTTTCAGGTATACTAGGAAGTTCTCTGATGTCGGGCACAGTAAAGTACAAGTGCTAAAACAGAACAGCAAATACTGATTATTTTGATATTGTCAAAGGTAATCTAAATTTATTGCTTGGTATTAGTAACAGCAATAATAGAAGTTCCTCAGCTAAGTAAAAATGACAGAACATTTTTTATTAACTACCAATATAACTTGTTTGCCAGGGATTTCAAAAGCTGCATTCTCTTCTCAGATCACAAATGCAATATAAAATGCATTAAGATAGAAAGTATCAAACAGTCCCAAAAAGATAGCTTACGGATTTTTTGTTCTTCAGAGATGCAGTTACACACATACTCACACAATTTATGACATATGCCAAGAGAACTTCAAGGCATTCTATAACTCACCTTTCTACAGCCCACTGCAAGATGCATGATGGACTATAGGGAACAAAATAGCAAGCAGGTCTTTTTCTGACTTACAGAATTAAGTTCCATTAAAGACAATACTGACATTATGGAAATTCACTGAGAAGTACTGTAAGCTTTTCTTCCTACCAACTTAAAAAAAAATTATTGACTTTCTAAATAGCTTTCACATTCTTTAAAATAAACAGTTATATTGGTCTTTCAATCTAATAATCCCTTATACTGTTACTATTTTTAATTGTCTGTATTCAAAGAAAGCAGGTTCACTCTAGTTCTTATTCTGATAATGCAAGATTTACATGATTCTTAGTGAGGGCTTTGGGAAAAGAGAGGAGAGAACGCAACTAAATTATTTTGTAAGTTGATATTACATACAATTTATATTATTTTTACAATTTTCACAATCTGTTGTAGGGCTACTTATTAATTATCAGCAGAAGCTTTAAAGGCTATTATATTCTTGGCATACTTCCACAGTTAGTCCAGTCTTCTTGTATACATACACCCTCCTCCCCCCAAATAAATAAATAAATAAATATATATATATATATATTTAAAAATGTATGGTAGATTTTTCAATACTTCATGAATGGTCTATAGCCTGAAATAACAAGTGGGTAAAACAATTACATTGAATACAGATGCTATACATGCAACACAAACGTTTGCTTTTTGATATATCACTTTTACTTTTGCTGAGAAGATGCAATGTAAAAATATAGGAATAGTATATTGGAGACAACAACTATATCACAAATAAGAAAACACCTAACCCCATAATAGGTTTGTAGACAGTCAAACTAAAATGCATAAAGACACTATAACAAACATAGTTCCTCAGCTGCTTTTCAATATCCGTTCTCGCTTCGTTACCCATGAAATGTCTGAGGCAAGGAGAGACCGCAGCATTCCTTGAAACCACCGGTATGAAACAACTGAAACATCCCAAATGATCATTGACTTTTGAAACAGCTTGTCCCTTTAGTCAAAACAGAAATGCTTTTCATAAAATAGCTAGCTTCAAAAGGACTCGGGACATTGCTGCTGCCAGCTGGTGACCGAGCAAGTCCGAACAACTGTTACCTGTCGACTGACATTAGAGGGTGAATTGATGAGAGTAAACTGCTTGTTGCCAAGAAATATTTTAAAAGAAAGCATAAAGGAAAAGGAGAGAGCGAGAAGAGAGCTACAGCTACACATACATCTACATATACACCAGTTTTCATATGAATTCTAAATGGCTAATTGACAACTGTAGCAATGTGCATTTTAGGTATTTTTTCATTAAACCTGTAACACAAGGTTGTTCTCAAAATTTAATTTGAAGAAAAAAACCCAAAAGACTAACTTCAAAATCCTAACAATCAATAAGATTCCACATATATTCTTTCACTGTTCTTTGATTCAGTTTTTCACAAGACATTAAAAAAAAAGAAATACAATCTGATTTTGTGATGAGCAAAGAAGTGGAGGAGAAGGAGAAGGAATCAGAAAGCATGTGATAAACACTTCATACTCAAAATGCTGTTATGATAGGCATATGACTTTGCTTGCATACTTGCAAGCTCTAGAAATTCTAAGTGCAGACAATAAATGTCATGTTGCTGCTTTGTGAACTCTAGAAAGTCACAAATGATATGGTGATAAAACTCCACGGGAAATATACACAATCTTCCTCCTATCAAAAAACAGGATTGCAAAGACATTTGAAGTTAAAGAAAGGGAGGGCCCCAAATGCAAAAGGGGACATCGCTGTATTCTCACAAGAAAATAACATCTATGTACTGAGTTCCAAAAAGGGGAATTATTTTTGACTTTTCTCTATTATGATATTTAATGAAAACTAAACACGTGAATTTCTATTTCTCTCGCTTCACTTACCACTCCAAGATGAACAGGAGTTCCTGGCTCAGGGATGGTAAGTTTATGAAGTGTTTCTAGGAGCTCACTCCTTTGACTATCCTGAAATAAGAGAAAAAAAATTGACACCAGAATACTAAGTAGGCCTTGTTATAACAAGAAAACTCAGAAGGGCAATGTTTGTGGATGCTGCTTGGGGCTAGGGAACTTGTAGGTTTAAAGAAAGACATTACAACAGAATTTATACATTAAGCTTTGAACCAGGGTGGGGAGAGTAGTGGCCTCCAACAGCTGGGTGTTATAACATGATTTTTTTTTTGGAATTTTTTTTGCTTAAATATTTCCACATGCAATCTACTGATTCACCAATGTATGCACTACCTACTTACTCAGCTTAGAGCAAGCCAGCTTTCACAGTAAATTCTTTTTAACAACTTACAGCATAGGGCAAAGCCAAGAGTATTTAGCCCCTTGTGGTGAAGATATGATCCCAAATGCTTCTAACTCAAAGTGATTTTATTACTACAAAATGGTAATGAATCAAAGCAGCAACCTAACTGGGAGGATTATACCTATAATATTTAAATATCTGAAACTAGGCTGAATGCTGCAATCATGTCTGTGATTTCTCTGTATCGTGAGTTATCATTTATAAATGTAGAATCAATTTTTAATAGCTTAAAATTCACTGTCTCAAGACTGAATTTTACTTTGTTTTGCTTTAAAAGTAAAAATAGCTTCTAAAGGGGTCAGGCTAGATTATGTCATGTGTGAAAATCTTCTTCATCAGTAAGCTTAGTTCTATGCTTTACATGACAAGTAAACTTGGATAAGACATCTGTCCAAGATTCAAAAAAATATTGCAATACCAACATTGCATGGATGCAGTGAATACAATTCATGTAACCAAAAAATCTGCATAGCTAGGAAAATATTAACTTACTGACTTTCTTGGACAATATCTTTTCCAAAAATATCTCAAAAACATATTAATTTCTCAAAGCCAATTGACAAGCGTTTGGCTAGGCTAAATATGGTCTTCTGTATTACTGTATAATACAGATCAATACTTCATGCAGTCATCTCTGATATGAGCATCTCCTAAACAGCTTGTTTTTATCCTTTCTACCTCACTCAATATTGGGGCAAAGGAGAGGGGTTAGTACTTTAAAATAATACCTGTCCTTTTGCTGAATAATCTGCCAAGACATTGAGTAGCTTATAAAAGACTTCAAACCATGGGAGGTAACTAAAAAACAAGAAAGAAAAGGCATACAGTTAACTTATTAAATTTTCAATTAGTAAATCCAAAATTGGTTTCCTTTACTACACAGATGCATCCTCAACAACAGCCTCCACTGGACATGGTACTTTGTAAATCAGGAAAAGCACATCAGATTTTTCTTTTGAAGGAGAACACAGACAGAAGGTTGAAGCATCCCTTTCCTTTGAGCGCACAGCTTCAGTATTTACTCCTTCCTGGAGCTTCCAGCCAAACGTGGGCACAAAGCATAAAAGGCAGCACCGGTTGTAAATAAATTAAGTATTAGGCAGGTCAATGTTGAAAATTCACAAGAATTCCTTTTCACTCTGTACATAACAAATGCACAACCTAAAGGATGTTTTTAACCTTTAGGATGAACGTACACAAATGCATGTATATTCATATACTGTTGAACATTTTTAATTGCAATTATTTCCCAAAGTATATGTTTCATTATGAGTCTTCAATACAGCTGCTCAGGGTCTAGTAAACTGAAGAAAAAGATGGTTGTTTTGTTTTTGAATTCGGATACATTTGGAATTTTTAATTGCATGACCAATATCTCAAGTTTTAAATAAACTGTCACTTACAGCTGACAAATCTCATTCAGCATTGTATTTAGCCAAACCCTTAGTTTGGCCAAATGGAAGTTTTACCTGAAGCAAATTTGCATTCCACTTACAATAGTAAAAAAGAATCAATATTAAAAGGCATTACCATGCTGAAAATTATGTTTTGCCTTTATTATACATTTTCATTCCATAAAATAAGACAGACAGCTAGGATGTTACTTTTCACTACAGGATGCTTTGCTATGATTTTGTACCATGTTTTCATGGCATGGTTCTTTGTTTCAATTTCTTTTTAAATATCGTCAAGGAATTTCCCCATAGCTATAATGAACAGGAAAGCAAGTATGTGTGACGCAAATTGATTCTTCTTTTAATCACAAATGCTTTCTGAAGCAAATGGATTGTATTTTGATATAGTTAGACAGGATTTTAAATTTTTATGACATATGACTACCTCCTCACAAGTATAAAGAATTCAGTGCCCCATGGTTCCTAACTGTATAGCTTTTAGTAATAAATGAAGTGAGAAGCTATATATGAGACAGATAAAGTGAACAGCACTCCATCATTAACATTTGTTTGAAGCTTGCAAACGCTACTGTAAAACGTAAGTAGCTTATCGAAATATACTGATAAGCAACTTAACTTTTCATGATATATGACAGTATTATCATTTAAATTAATATGCTTTAAGCATCTTTACAAACTATGTATCAGAATAGAGCAGAAAGACAGACAATTACCACTTTAAATAGCATTTAGTTTGGCATTATACTGTAAACATTCAAGAAGGATTAGTCAGAAGATAAGTTTCTTTCTTTCTGTTTAGTTATATAAACTTCGGCAGAGCTAAAAGCCATTACAAGAGTAACAAGAAATCCCCTCAGAACATATCTGCTATGCAGAGATTAAAAACCTGGTAAACAAATCCTTGTAAGCCTCGCAAGGCACCTATCAAAAGAAGAGTCTGAAGATGAAAAAAAAAGAAGAAAAAAGAAAAGATGCCAGAAAACTGTCTAACAATATGAAAATGAAAATTTATTTCAGGTAAGCATAATTAAAGTTCCACTTCATTGCTTAGGCACCTTGCTGGAAAACTACATTTACAGAATTAAAATAAGTACCCTTTAAAAATATCGTTGTGTCTAAAACGCACGGGTCAGTGCATAGGCAATAAACAAAAGCAAGTTATCTCAATTTGCAGTTTGCCAGAACTGCACCTCATCTGGAGCCCCCCTGTCCTGGGCTGATGGCAGAACAGTTTCTCAGCACTTTCCACAAGAACTGAAGCACGTATCTAATGACGATAACACTGAGCTCTGAAACCAAAGTCAGGTCGTGCTCTTTCCTCTAAAACCCACTGATTTGTCCTGTTGGGGGACATACCTCGCTACGGACTCCAAGCAGTTGGCTCTGTTGCCTCATTAGGCCAAACGTGGCAAACCTACCGGCTTAACCCGTGAGAACACTCTACATAAATTCTGTCTAGTTCTCCCACACAGCACCTAGAAAACAGCTTCTATGACTGCACTACAAAAAAGTCCAGATAAAGTCTCCTATTCACACAATATCAAAACACCAGCAAACCCTCTGTACAAAAAAGGGAAGGTAAGCCCCTGTTTCTGTTATACTTGCTTGTATCCTATAATGAACTTTGTTACTGTCCTTTGTTCAACCCCCTCTCTTCCTTATTTAATCTGTTTTCTCCAAAGATGGTTTCAGAGCTCAGCATAACTGCTTCTTTCTCATGTTTTAACAATAGTTTTGCATTTCAAGGAGTCACGCTCTACAGTTTTGAAGTGGAGGAAATAAGCTGGTATTTGCTACTGCGAAGCAAATCGCAACACAACACACAGGATTACACACACACACAAAATCTTCGTAATCCAGATCTCGCTCTAAAGGGTGCAAGACAAGATAATAACAACAACAACAACAACAACGACATCACAAAATCTGCTGTTCAAGTAGAAAATTTATTTTCTTTTTCAGAATATTTGCAATACAATACAGCTTATTTCGGTAATTTTTTCAATCAGCATAGTAACTGTCAATCTTCTTTTGCTTAACATGTGAAAAAATAGGACATTAAGCAGCATATCAATTTAAGGTCTAAGATCTTGCCCTACTGTAATATCCACATACCTATCAAATGCAACTTCTTTATTCTCACAAAACTCTGTAATACAGAAGAATGCTCTTATCCTCATATTCAGCTTAAGTACAACAAAGTTAACTCAGCAAGTCTCAGCAACCGTAGCCTGTGACCAAGCACTGGACTGAATCCAAGTATCTTAGTGCCTTAGGTTCACACTGCAAATACAGACCTATACTTCCTCATTCTACAGAGTGAAAACAAAATTACAGCATCATACACACAGGACTTAGGTTTATGTATTGTATAAAATAGACTTCTGACACCCTCATTGCTTTTAATTATTCATTTAGACAATGGTAAAAACCTATTTCAAATTCTTAAACATGTTTCATATTTCTCCCTCAAGAATATGTTAACCCCCCCCAGATTTTCAATCCTTCCACCTGTAACACAGACCAATATTTTGCTTTTAGATACCTGCAGACAAATGTGAGTAAATATATGCATTACAAATGGTTTGCATAGAAGCTTATTAGCACTGCAAGAAGCAAGGTTACCAGAATTAGAGCGAGTTCATTCTATTTTTAAACGACTAAAGCAGTGAATAAGCATCTTTAAAAATAAATTCAATATATTTAAAATATTAAAGGCTTAGAATCTTGAAGGTATTTAGACTCCTAAGTATCTTCCAGTGATTTCAACAGAAATTAGATGCCACGTATCTTGAAGGACCATATCATGAGTGATTTAGTCAAGAAAGTTCCCTTAGTTATTATGTACATAATGATACATTTTCCCTCATTACTCCCAATTTGTGACTTCCTCATTCATGCTTGCTAACCTTCCAGAAGAGACAGTAATGTGAAGTTCAAAATGTTCTAGTAAAGCAGTCTTTGGACCTATCAGTTGTCATTGAAATAAATCTGGAGACCCATCAAGACTATACATGGAAAACTTAGTTCATTTGGGATGCAAAAAATACACCTCTGAGAGAAAACAAATAAGCACAACCACCTTTAAGCGCTGCAAGATTCCAGTGTGATTTTCATACAGGAACTTCTTAGTAGTCCTGTGCTATTTTTAGACTTCTTCAAATGCAACGTTGTTACACTTTTACATCCACAGGTTATTCTGTTGGGTCATCTTAACTTGAAACTACCACAGAGTATGAGAATTACAACAAGCTATACATTAGAAACAGAACAACATTTTTATTTTCCTATAAAACATTAACAGTTTTCCAGAATACATTTATTTTAAGAACAAGGACTAGACTCGTCAAGATGTCAAAGTTATCTTGTCATTCCAGTAAAAAATTATGTAACTTCATTTCAGTTTGACATCCCGTCTTTGTCACCGTACAGTTCAGGATTCCTCTCATTCTGAAAGCTTTAGAAGCCTCATATAATTCATTTATCTTGCCATCTTCAGTACGTTTACTTCATGACTTATTCCATGTGTTTACTACTCAGAATGATACAGTGCTGCTTCTATTAACCAAAACATGACCAGCTAAAGACGCAAAGGATCAAGAAACGCAGTTATCTGAATTTGCTTCTAGAGCTCTGAAGGGAAAAAGGAGAGATGTGGATTTTACCTTGCAAAAAGCAAAACCTCTAGACAGTCATTAAACCTCCTCTCCCAAAGAAATGGAGGTTGAATTTATAACCAAAAACTCTCTGTACCACATGCAACTTAAGCAGCACAACTGGTAGCACTACTGAAGATTTATGGCTTATGACTTGCTCATATTTAATTTGTAACCAAACACTTCCCCTTCCTCTTAGCTACCTTAGAACTTCTGATTAACTCTTGTTTTCACAGGTCATAGGTTAAGCAAAGGAAGGGAAGCGCTCTGGAGTGAAATTGCCCAGAGCACTATAGCCGGCGCACACACGCACACACACACACACTGCATCCCTGTTCAAGCAACATCAAAAAAGTGATAGGCTAGAGACTGTTCAAGGGAGTTTAAGTTCAAAGACTCCAATAAGCATAAATCAGGTTGCGGCTGAAGAGTAAACAAAAATAAAAGGGCAATCTGAAATTATTTTAATTTTTTTTTTACACTCATTTACAGTTTCCTCTGAATTTTTTTTTTTATAGTCACATTTGCCATAAAACACTAAAAATCAACTACGCTTCTGCAAGCTGAGAGATGAGTTTAGCATTCTGCTTTTCTCTCCCACTGAGCTTTCAGGACGAAATACAGCCTCAGCGCCGGAGACAGGCCAGTCTGACGGGAAGCAAATATGGGCACAGGAAAACTACTTATTATGCTACATTGGGTCTGCACAAACTCTACTGCACGAGTT